TCTGATACAGAGGCAGCAAGGGGGGAGGAATGCATATAGTCGACAAGATTAACCGATAAACCCAGGCTTATCGGTTAATTGTGCAGTCGTCTACACGTTGACATCCCTAGTCCACATGGCTAATTAGCATGCAGCTCACCAGAATGCTGTAGATTTACACCCTAGCTGGCCCCTAGTTAACACTCCCTTTAAACAATAGCAACGGCTGCTGCTCAGACCTGCACCCCACCTGGTGCTGGTGTCACCTCCAGGTGGTGACCTGCCTGTGGCAAGGTCCTGTTCCCAGTGGCTTTCAACTCTGAGTTCAGGCCCAGCATGAACAGGTGCAGAAGAGAAACAGGCAATTAGAGCTTATGAATATTAGCGGGGAAGAAAAATAGTTGCCCTTCCTCACCTCTTTCTAAGGTGTTGTCTTTCCAGGCAGACTGTGCCTCAAGTTGCTCTGTACTTTGGGTATTTTTTGAAGTTGTTTTCCACATTTTCCCCCCACTGGCTCCAGGAATGTTTACTGATAAAATTCCTCAGTGCTGAGGTGAGTGGGACTGTTTCCAATGGGGCTGTTTGGATCCGCTGTGAGTGCAACAACAGGCGCACTGCATGTGCAATAACAATAGATGACCAGGCCGTATCCCGGAGGGTGGTTAGCTGTGCGGATCATTGGAGGAACCCCAGCTGTTTGTTAATGCCCAGGCAACGCCCTATGCCACGGTCTCTATGGCTGTGCTATAAACTGCAAATGGGGCAGAAAGCTGGGTCAATAGATTGGCGGGGAGTACGGAACCACCTTGCCGTGTCTGTGTATATGAGCCAGATTAGAAATGTGCCAAGCCCCCACAGTAGAAGCCAGTGTGTGAATAACCAGTGCAGGTGCAAATCAAGCCCCAGATGCATTAGCCATTCAGATAATGATTATTTGTGTCCTCGTCCTGCACAGCTGCCCCGGTCAGAGCAGGACCCCCTAGAGCTGAGTGCAGTACAACCAGACAGTCCCTGGCTAGTGTGTCTGCTGGAATCATTCTAATATCTTACATTCCACGCAGAGCTTGTCGCTCCAAAACTGCAGCCTAAGCAGGGTGGATGGGTGTCACTTATCTCAAATAGTTCCTCGGGGTGCTGCCAGGTGCTGACGGGGCGGGGGGTGCACACTGCGTCAGGTAGCGTTCAAGTGTGTGCCCCCCCTCTCCTCCTTCCCATTTGGACTCTGCTTCCATGTGGTCCTATTGTCCCCGGTCTTTGCCCAGCTCTGGGACGATTTGGAGTGCACCTAGCTGTGTTCGCAGTCAGTACCTGAAGGGAGTTGGTCCAAAGCAGCCAGGGTCTCCAGCACCAGAGGCATTTCCCACCAGTTTGTTGCTCTGTGGTACATTTGGGGCAAGGGAGTTTCAGTGACAAAGCTCTTTCTGGATGGGGCAGTGGAATGTGGCCATGCAGCAGGTGTCTTGGATCATGTGTCTGTTTTGGTCTCTCCTGTTTACTGGAGGCATGTGGCCTCGCTAAGGCTGAGGCAGCCCCTAGGACTTAGGTACAAGCTAAGTAAACTACAGTTTATGGCAGGGCTGGACAAGAAGCTGTCAGTGGGCCAGATCTGGCCCACTTAGCCCTTTCCTCCAGCCCGTAGCAGCTCTCGGCCCAGCCCTTTAACGTGTTGCTTGGGAGCCGCTGGGGAGGCGTGAGCCCTTTCAGCTCCTGCTATTTAAAGGCAGTGCTGGACAAAGCCATACTTCGCCCTGGGCAGCAGGCGCATGGCGCATGCGCTACCCCGGGCAGCAGGCGCATGTGCGGCCCCACCCCGGGCGCGCAGCACATGCGGCACCCCTTACCACTTCAATCAGGTGCCCCCCATAGGTTGGCGCCCCGGGCAGCTGCCCGGCTAGCCCCCCCCTTAATCCGGCCCTGTTTAAAGGGCTATTTAAAGGGCTGCCAGGCAATGTGGTAGTGGCGGGGCCGTGACCTGTGAGCCCTTTTGACTGCTTCTATTTAAAGGGCTCCCGTCTTCCAGGCAGCTGCTAAAGTCCGAGCCCTTTAAATAGCAGGAGTTGAAAGGGCTCACCGCTCCCATCCCTGCCGCTAACGCATTGCCTGGGAGCCGCAGGGGAGGCAACTCCTGCTATTTGAAAGCCCCACCCCTTTCGCCCGAGGTCCCACCCTTTCGCCCAAGGCCTTGCCCTTTCCAGGGCAACCCGCAACCACTTTGGAAATTTTTGAAGTGGTCCCCTCCCCCTTCAAAAATTATTTCCCACCCTTGTTTAGGGCCTCAGATCATGAGAGGCCTCTGCATACAAAAAAATTACTAGTTTTTAGTTGCAGCCTTGCCTATATATGGGTATAGATGCAACTATAAACCATTATTATTTCTATTTTCATTGTCCTTTCTGTTAGAATAATACACATAGCTCACATGCCCTCCCTAGATTTTAATTGCTGAATCTGGATGCCCTCACTTTTCCCTCTTCCCCCCTCCTCTGATCTTTAGTTTTAATGACCAAAATAATTATATTTAGCTCTTGTATGATTTTTTTTATCCATAGATCTCAACACTACCAAAGAAGTCAGAATCCTTAGCTCCATTTTACAGATGGAGAAACTGAGACACAGAGCTGTACCTTGCCTAACTTAAGGTTACTTAGTAGCGTGAGCTAGGACTAGACCCTTCATCTCATGAGCCCCATGTCCAGTGCTCCGTCCAATAGGCCACACAAGTGACTTGTACCTCAGTTTTACATCCCCTCTGATTAACGGTACCTCCGACAGCACAGCACCTTGCTCCACCAAGGTCATCTATTCAGTAGTTACTCAAAAAGGAGGTGGTGAACCACTTCCTATGTGCTTCTTGGAAGTCTCTTATTTGAATACTTAAAGCATCCCCTCCCCGCTAAGCTTGCAAAATTCACTGGGAGCATGCAGCTTGTAATGCCAGCAGACTGAGTGCCAGCTCATGCTGTGGCTCCAGGCCACACCGAACACTTACAAATGCATAGCTGGAAACCAGACTTGCTTGTGTTTTAACATGATCAAAATAGGTGGTAGATGGTAAGTTGATAAGAGTGTGTTTAGAGTTCAGAATGCCTGTAGGATGTTGCATGTGTTGATTACACTTATAATCGCTGTGGTTCATGGTGCACAGTTAGGTTGAGTGTTTGTATTGTAAACCTCTCTAAATGTGTAACTCACCAAACAGGAAAAGAAGCATTGATTCAGACACAGGGGTCATCTACGGCTCACTGAAAGCAAATAGACTCCTCGCTTTCTATATATTTTAGTGTGTGTCTGTCTGTCTGCGAGCATGTCTGCCTGCAAGTCCATTTGTTCAAGAGCTCTTCCTAAACAGTAAGACTATGTCTATATTGTGCCCATTTTGCGCAAAAAATATGCAAATGAGACAAAGTGTGGAATATCGCCGTGCCTCATTTGCATAACTAATGAGGCTCCATTTTTGCACAAGAGGCTTTTGTGCAAAAAGGAGCCATCTTACATGGCTCCTTTTTGCGCAAAAACCCTTCTTGTGCAAGAGCCGTTCTTTGGCATTTTTTTCAGGAAGAATGGCTCTTGCGCAAGAGGGGGGGTTTTGCACAAAAAGGAGCCATGTAAGACGGCTCCTTTTTGCGCAAAAGCCTCTTGCGCAAAAATGGAGCCTCATTAATTATGCAAATGAGGCGCAGCGATATTCCACGCTTCGCCTTATTTGCTTATTTTTTGTGCAAAATGGGCGCAGCATAGACATAGCCTAAGAGCTAGGGCCACCAAATTTGCTATGTGGCATCCTCTGCTAACTGAAAGCACGGTCAGGGTTTGGTTGTGCCAGGACATCCGTAAGCCCCGGGAGAAGGACTGTTTTCCATACAATTAAAAGGGAGGGGCTGCTGTTCAGAGGGCTCAGAGGATATGAGAGTGGCCACTGGAGACAGCAAGCCTGCAGGAGAGAGCAATGGCCATCTTGCCTGCCAGCACACTGGGATCCTTGGTGGCTGGAGAGGTGGCTGGGGGAAAGAAAAGGCCCTGGAGGCAGAGAAAACACCTCTGGCAGCTGGTGGAATTTGGCGAGGGGGAGGCCAGTGATGGATGGGACCCCTCACCCATAGCCCCTCCTCACCCCCAACCCTTACTCTTGTACACACACCCCTAGTCTCTGCATCTGTGAAAATGGATGTGGCTATCCACAACTCTTTTTTGCAGATACAGAGGCAGGTTCAAATTTTGTATCTAGAACCTGCAAATTTGTGGCTCTCTGCTTTATTTCTGCGGTTATCCTCATCCGTGGCTCATTGGTGCAGATACAGATGCAGATGCAAATGTTGTATCTGCACAAAGCTACCATTCTAAGGCCAGAAGGGACCATTGGGATCGTTTCTGACCCCTGCACATTGCAAGCCACAGAACTTCACCCCCCACTCCTGTCGTAGACCCCCTCCTGTTCTCCTTGGGGTGCTGCTCCTGAATGTCCTTCCTCTGAGGCACAAAAACCGCCCGTCAGCTAATTTCCAGCCTAAACTTGTTAATGGCCAATTTATTTCCATTTGTTCTTGAGTCCATAGTGGTGCTTCACTTAACTCCTCTCCCTCCTTGGGATTTATCCCTCAGATGTATTTATAGGGAGCAATCAGCTCTCCCCTCAGTCTTTTTTGCTTAGAGTAAACAAGCCAAGCGCCTCTCAGAAAGGTTTTCTACTCCTTGTGTCATCCTACTAGCCCTTCTCAGCACTTCTTCCAGTCTGAATTTGTTGTTCTTAAACATGGGAGACCAGATCTGCACACAACATTCTAGTGAAGATCTCAATATATATAATTGCCTTGTATAATTATATTAACACTTCCCTGTCTCTACTGGAAATCCCTCACATGATGCATCCTAAGGTGCGTCTACCCTGCATCCTGCGCTCAAAATAAGATATGCAATTTGTGCTACAAAAATTGTGTATCTTTATTTTGATTCTATTTCAAAATAGGCTATTTGGAAATTTGGCGCATCTATACAGCGCCAAATTTCGAAATAACACATAATTTTGCAACATCCCTTATCCCTCGTGGAATGAGGTTTACAGGGATGCCGAAATAGCAGGTTCACTATATTTTGCAATAGCGGACACGTTCAACAGATGTGGGGTAGCTATTTCGGGATACCTCTGGTATCCTGAAACAGCCTTGCGGTATAGACGTACCCCAAGGATTGCATTAGCCTTTTTCACAGCCACCTCACCTCATAGTCATCCTATGATCCACCAATTCACCCTGGTCTTCCTCCTCCCTGTCAATTCCAACTGATAAGTCCCCGTCTAATAGCAACGTCTAAGTGCCTAACCTTGCACTTTGCACTGCTAATGACATATCATCAAAGGACAGAAACTTAGTTGATTTCATTCCTAACTCCCTCCAGGAAGCAGAGAGCTACCCAGGAAGTCACCCAACACGTCCGGAGCCTGGATTTAAAAGCCCAATCGCTGCCCAGCACCAGACGACTGTACATTTCATTCACACCTAACAGAGACTGAGTGCAAGTACCACAAAAGCCTGCCCTGCACTCCAGCGTCAATTTGCTTTGCTTTACATATTGCGGTGCTGAACACTGCAACCTGTGGGTCCCTGTGTGACTCTGGCTGCAGATTTCCACAGGGACCGAAGCGCTGCAACGCCGAGAGCCGCAAAATGTCTCTTTGGGCGCTCTGCTGCCCAGCTGAATGCTGTCTCGATCCAGGCGCCCAGAGCTCTGCACACAATACGTGCGCAGAGCTAGTCGCCCAAGGACGGGATTTTCAGAAGCCCGCAAGCAGAGCAGGCAGCTGCCTATGTTAGCCAGGAGTGAAGCGCAAAGTAAGTGAGTGGGGATTAGGGCCCAGATCCACAGCTCTTATGGATCTGGTCGTCCATGACACAGGGATGGGTTGGTGCTAGCTGCCTCTCTCCAGGTAGGAGCCGCACCCCTGCCCTGGAGATGAGGAAGTCAGCCCAGCCCTACTCAGGCAAAACCAGAGCGAGAGCATGAGCCCCCAGTCCCATCCTGAGAGGCCAGGACAGGCCACAGGGGCATGGGAAACGTGGGTCAATTCCCTGTGCTGCCTAGTTCAGAGCACGACCTGAACCCACGTCTCCACTGAGGATCCCTGTGCCCCCGGGAGGAGGATGGTCTCAGTCGCTCCTATCACCGCTGTTCCAACACAGTCACCGGGCCAGGGAGAGACTCCAGGCCTGGAGACGCCCGCTGCCCCACCGGGCGGAGGATCCACGATTGCTGCATGTTGGGCCGAGTCGAGCGCAGGAGAGTCCCTGCTGTGCCTGCGTCCTGAGGGGAAGGGAAACTGAGGCTGCTGCAGGGGGCAGTGAAGCAATAAGCCGACTTCGGCCAGCATGGGAAATGCCGCCTCCTGGGGAACTAACAGGCACAGGGGAAGCTCCTCTCCTCTCCGGGCCGTGTCTGTTCCCTCGCAGCGAGGACGTGCGCTGTGACGATCCCAGCCAGCAGGCTCCCAAGCACCCCCAGCACAAGGAGCCCTTTGGTGCGGCAGTAGGACAGTGCTGGGGTCTGGGGCAGGGTGGGACCTGTAGGAATAAATCAGAGTTTGGGGGTTTTGCTCTGTTTGGCAGGGTGCCAGGAGCTTGGATTCTAAAGACGCCAGTGAGCTCAGAGGCAAACACCCAGCTGTTCCCTTTGGGCCAGGCCATCGGTGCCCCCAGAGCCCTCGGTGACAGACCTTCTTTGCATTAGAGCAAAAGGACATAAAAATGGCCAGATTGGGTCAGACTAAAGGCCCATCTAGCCCAGCGTCCTGCCTGCCAACAGTAGCCAATGCCAGATGCCCCAGAGGGACTGAACAAAACAGGGAATCATCAAGTGATCCCTCCCCTGTCATCCATCTCCAGCCTCTGACAAACAGAGGCGGGGGACACCCTTCCTACCCAACCAGGCTAACAGCCATTGATGGACCTAACCTCCCTGAATGTATCTAGCTCTTTTTTGAACCCTGTTAAAGTCCTAGTCTTCACAACATCCTCTGGCAAGGAGTTCCACAGGTTGACTGTGCACTGTGTGAAGAAGAAGACTGTGTTGCATGAAGGGTAGGGTGTAGGAATTGGAGAGTAGACCCTTAAAAAGCTCGGGGTCTCCCCAAGGGTGCTCACTGTCCCCTACATTCCAGCCAGAGTGGCAGGACGTGTATGGATGAGCCAGGAGTGCTTCACAGGAGGGATGGAGCGAGCGTCACCTTCACAGGCCGCCTTGGGGGAGGCGTTGGCTGAGCTGGTGCTGACATTGTTCGTAGCTGTGCAGGTGACAGGTGTGTCCTCGTCTCCCAGTCTGTGTTGGACCAGCAGGGATTCCTTGGTGGAGAGAACAGCGCCTCCTGCTGGGCCCGTCCAGGTGTACGTGAGATTCCAGGCTCCCTCCCCGGCGCTGCAGGTGAAGGTCACGTTGCAAGTGCTGTTCCCAGCCATCACGGGATGAATCTTGATCTCCAGCTGCGAGAGCCGCTCTAGGTCCCGGATCAGGGTGAGAAATACAAAATAACATTGAACAGAGGCTCCTCCTTCTACAGCCTCAGGCTACAGAATATGGGGGGGTGGGTGTAACACCCACAGACCGTTCTCTCATACATACTGAACCCCCCATGTGTGAGAGTGTTCCCCAACCTCGTTGCGCCATGTGTTGGGACAGGAGCGGGGGCCGCCTTGCAGAAGTGACCTGGGAGCACATGGGAAAAATGGGGACACTTTTTTGGGCTGTGTTGGGGGGCATAGTTATTGTAATGGACAGGAGGAGTACCCGGTGCTGACCAGCACCCAGTGACTAGGGGTTTAAACTCAAGTAGCTAGCAAGGGTGTGGGCCAGGGAGCCGGGGGAACCAATCGAAATAGAGTACTGAAATTTGAATTGGATGTAGAGACCTTGCCTGCTCTCTTTGTTGGGGATAGTTAAACCAGGAATTGAGAGACGCAGAATGATTTAAACCCAGGCAGGACTACTATGCCTCCAAGGAATTTGGGGCATGGAAGTGGACTGAACCAAGAAAAGACTGGGAGGAAGTAAAGGGGAAAAGTGAATCTAGTTGTGATCAGTTTATTTTCCTTATTTTGTGGTTTGGTTTAAACTGCTCTGTGTGAATCTATGCAACCCCTCATTTACCATCTAAGCATTGTTCCCAGAGATTTTCTCTGTGTTTTAATTTGTTTTCCTTAGTTGCTCTGTAACATCTAGCAACCGAGTATGCTTTATCCAGTATAGCTTTTGTTTTGTAATCAAAATCACTTTTTTAAGGTGATGATTTGATTCTTGTGTCCTGGAAGGTCTGTCTGTCTGTGTGTGTCTGCAGGCCTCTGAATGAGGGGTCAGCGACCAGAGACTGAAGCTTGTTTTTCTCTTTTATTTTTTCAAACTCTTTTAGGGCAAAAATTCTGGGGTACCCCTGGGGGTGAATTCAAGTGTTCACCCTGGTTTCTAGGAAAAAAATCACTTGATGACGATCTGTGCATTTGTGATTCTGGAGAAGTTTTTGTAACTGGTACCTTCAGTGGCAAGAGACATTTAAAGTCTTTGTGAGCCCCCACCTACTGCACTCAGGCTATGGCTATACTGCGCTGTGTTGCGCAAGAAATATACAAATGAGGCAAAGCATGGTATATCGCCATGACTCATTTGCATAATGAATGAGCGACTGCTTTTTGCGCAAGAGGCTTTTGCGCAAAATGAGCTGTCTACACGGCTCCTTATTGTGCAACACCCCCCTCATGTGCAAGAGCCGTTCTTCCTGAAACAAATGCGGAAGAACGGCTCTTGCACAAAAGGAGATTTTTGCGCAAAAGAGGATTTTTGCGCAAAAGCCTCTTGCACAAAATGCTGCTGCTCATTAATTATGCAAATGAGGCATGGCAATATTCCACGCTTTGCCTCATTTGCATATTTCTTGCACAAAACAGCACAGTATAGACCTAGCCTCAGAGTGGGGAACAGCCCTGACAGTTACTGAAGAAGCCCTTCATCTGGCATCATCACCCTACACTTCCAACCAGGGCTGGGTCCTCTCCAGGGAAGGGCCTTAGCTGCCTCCTGCTTTACCTGGGGTCAGCAGGAGCCATCTTTGGAGCCACGGTGCTTATAGCGGGACCCTGTGAGAAGACGGCATCTCCCCCTTGGTCTCTCCTTACCCGGTCCTTCTCTGTCTCTCTCTCCTTTCCCCAATAGCTTCCTGCCTGCCTGTCTATCTATCCCCATACACCTCATCATCTATCTACCCTTCTCCTTTGTTTATTTAGAGAGCTCTAAGAACTATAATAGCCTGGTGCCGCAACCACGGGGTACCCCCACCCCGACACCGAGTGCTCTGATTGCATCATTAAAGCCTTCTTGTTACGCCCCAAGTGCACATTATCGCCTCTCACCCTGCACCTCCCCGGGGCTCCCAGCTACAGACACTCACGGTAGAGGGTCAGATGATAGTCACAGAAATGAACATTGTGTCCGATTGTGTTTTGCTCTAATTTGTATTCCCCCCGATCTGCCAGCGTCAGGTTGCTGATCTCCAGTGAATAGCTCTGGCCGTGGAGTCTCACGCGCCCTCGGTATCTCTCGTCCTCCACAGCCACACGGGGCAGGGCTCCAGGCTCTCCTGGCGTGATCACAGCAAGAGGCACCTTTCTACCCGAGGCCGTGTCCTGGCGAGGGCTAGGTCGGTACCAGGTGATGAGCTTGAACGTCCCCTTGAAATCAAATGGGAGAACGACCAATTCTCCCAGAATCCCATTCACCCGTATGGCAGAAGAGGCACAACCTGAGGTTGCAGGACTTGAGCCTGTCAACAGAGAATAAAAGGGTCCAGGAACCGCAGCAAACCCAGCCACGCCCGGCCTCCCCTGCCCTGCGACTCCCTCTGGCCACGGGGAGCATGTACCACTAAAGCCCTTTGCCCAGCGAGTCCCTGGGCTCCTACGCACAGCAGTGATTCTCGGGCCCGGCTCAGGGGGCGGTTGGACTAGAGGATCCTAATGCTCCCTTCTGGCCTTGCAATCCTGGAATTAAGCCTCATGGCCTGCCCTGTGTAGGAGGAAAATATGCTCCTGTCCCTTTAAAATTCCTAGCTGGGAGGGAGAATGGCCTTTCACACAGGAACTCAGTGTTAGCCAATGGCAGTCACCATGTAGGTCCAGAGGAATTTTTCAAGGCCGGGTGATGAATTATCTGCAGATGGGGAAACTGAGCAGAGTGGTGCGGTGCCCTGCACAGTCACTGGCAGAGCCGGGAACAGGCGGGAGGGTTCTGGGGCCGTGATCCCAGGCTGTGGGTTTCATCCCCGGGCCACCTGCTCCTGGCTCTCCCAGCTCCTACCCTGCCTGCCTGCTCAGTGCTGCCTCTGGGTGGGGACAGGGACCGAGGTGACCCCCTGGCCAGCCCTGGGCTGTCACTGCTGGGCCCTCCTGCCTCTCTCGGGGACCGTGGTCCTCTTGTGACTGTGACCTCCCAAAGCCTCATTTCTCTCCCTAGAGGCAGCAGCCCCAGCACCCGACCCGAGGGGGGTGAGGGGCCCTGCCTGGCAAACCAGCCTCCTGGGAACAAGCAGCCCACAGGGCGAAGGAGAGACCCTCCCGCGGGGGCTGCACAAGGGGAGCGCAGAAGAGCCAGGAACGGGAGTCGGCGATGAATCTCTCCAACATTCCCTCTGCCTGGGCAATGGGGGATCAGGCATGCGGCCTTGCCTGGGCTCAGAATGCGCCGGGTCCCTGGGGGAAGCAAGACCCCCCAACGCGGCCTCAGCAGCTCCCATCCTCTCCCTGCTGACCCCACATTCACCCGCTGGGCTGGACACGGCCCCGCATCACTTACCTCTGGGCTGGGCAGCCAGCAGGAGGAAGAGAAGGTAGGGCCGGGGAGTGCCTGTCATCCTGGCAGGCTGCAGAGCAGGGAGCAGTCCGGGCCCGTGGAGCGATCGCTCTGAGAGCAGCAGGGTTGGAGCAGCTGGGGCTGGCTGGAGGGGGGGGCCGGGGCGCAGTTTCAGAACTTCCTTTTCACCCGCCGATCTAGCCTGCATCAGGCACAGGATGAGATAACACCCTCAAATCTCCCCTGCCCTCCTCCCGTCCTTTCCTGCCCTGTCGCTCACACAGGCCCAGCCTGACTCTGGCACCCCCACGCCATGGGGCACCCAGCCCCTCCCTGTGGTTGTGGCCCCCCTGTGACAGGGAGCCGGGATGTGTCTGGGGAGATGCGGCCTAAGCGCACAAGGTGATCGATCGGGCGCCTTGTGGTAGCGCCCTGCAGCCTGAACCACTGAGCAGGGCCCCGACTTGCCAGGGGCTGCACAGACACGTGGCCCTGCCCAGCATTTCTCTCCCCAGCTGGTGTTTACACTCCAGATCGGCAGGCCCGTCCCGTGCCCCCTCTTGCATGACAGCCTGAGGCTGCTGGGGGTGGGGGTGTGCTGAGAGCTGGGGAGCCCTGACACCTAGAGACCAACCCCCATGGGTGAGAGCAACCCCCGACCTCATGTGGATGGCCCAGGGCAGAGGTCATGCTCCCAGCCCAGGGGCGTGAGCCCACCAACGGGGAGGGCGTAGCTGCTCCCCCCACACTCCCCACAGGCAGATCCAGGTTCTGCAGAAGCTGCGTTTCCAGCCATCCCGGTTTAGGCTGTGAGGCGGGTTTCGTTCTTTCAGGACTGGAACTGCCCTGCTGCAATTGCATTGGCTCCTCTGCAGTCGCACTGGGGTGAGTTTGCCTGGCTCAATTTGCTGTAGATCTCCCTCCGCCGACCCTTCCCGTGTTCCCTCTCATTTTTTTCCTTTCATGGGCGGAGTACATTTTGTTATATGCACCAAGGCATGTGCAGAGGTGCACCACCAAAAGAAACACACGCGGCTGGCTTTGGTCAGCTGTGGGTCTCAGTGGAATGGCAGTGCCCCCCCAGCACTCAGCTTACAGCTTCCTATCACTCTTCACTGAGCAAGCGCCAGTTAATCAGAATTTCCTGGGGAGGGGGCAGGATTACAGGACATTCCCAGTCTGGGGCCAGTTCTAGACACCGGTTTGATCCTGGTGTCAAGATGTTGGGGCAAGGGGGGATTTTTTTAAACAGCTTTAGTTACACCAGTCCAGCCCCTGGTGTGGCCACAGAGTGGGACAAAGGGGCCTGGTCCCCACACTGCTCATTCCTCTTCCCAGCTGGGCAGAGCTGTGGTGGGATGGGCAGCATTGTACCCCTATGCCTCCATCCTGGGGGAGTTCTTTGTTAGGCTAGAGCAGGGTTTCCCAGCCTATGGGTCAGGACCCAAATATGGGTCACCATTACATTCCAAAAGGGTCAACAGGTCTCTCCCCAGGTGGCTCTTAAGGAGCCATTCACACAGTTTTTGAATTGCCCTGGGTCACCACGTCTTCCTGAATTGTCAAAATAGGTTCCCATCTGGAAAAGGTTGGGAACCACCAGGCTAGAGGCTTGGCTATAGGATTGGTGTGAGCCTAAAACACAAAGGCTGTGTCTAGACTGGCAAGTTTTTCCGCAAAATCATCTGCTTTTGTGGAAAAACTTGCCAGCTGTCTACACTGGCCGCTTGAATTTCCGCAAAAGCACTGACGATCTCATGTAAGATTGTCAGTGCTTTTGCAGAAATACTGTGCTGCTGCCATTCGGGCAAAAGTCTTTTTCCGAAAAACTTTTGCGCAAAAGGGCCAGTGTAGACAACAGCGATTTGTTTTCCACAAAAAAGCCCCAATCGCGAAAATGGAGATCGGGGTGTTTTTTTGCGGAAAAGCACGTCTAGATTGGCCACGGACGCTTTTCTGCAAAAAATGCTTTTGCGGAAAAGCGTCCTGCCAATCTAGACGCGCTTTTCCGAAAATGCTTTTAACGGAAAACGTTTCCGTTAAAAGCATTTCCGGAAAATCATGCCAGTGTAGACGTAGCCAAATTGACAGGGGCAAGAGACCGGTCTCTTGCGACTGGCAGCAAGCTGAATCTTTTGTGATTTTTGGTGTAAGGGACCTTTTATCACTAAGTCCAGCTTGCCTGGAAGGCAGAGGAGACTGCAGCGCCCATGGGCTCTATCCGTGGCTCCGTGATAAGTCTGGTGTTGCACGTCAGGAGTTCACGTTTGGGACTGAGTTGGTGAAATCTAGTTCTAGAGCACCCCGCCCATGGGGGGCACCTCCCCTGCTTTTTGACAGTCTGCCCAGAGGTGGGCAGCCCTGGTCGGGAGCCACGCCAGAGAGGACGGCACAGCCCCAGGCGGCCTGACTCCTGGCCAGGCCCGGCGCGTTCCATTCCGCTTATGAATATGAAGTGTCGTGTGGAACAGCCTCCTAATCAGAAACAGGCTGGGGCTCTCGCGCAGACTCTGTAGACAAGGCCTTAGTCTAAGCCAGGCGGTGCTGGGGAGCAGAACAGCAGCCGGGAAGCACCCGCAGCACAGCGCTCCCTGGGCGTCACTCGTAGCCTGCCTGGCTCCTCGCGGCTTGTTACAGCCTTGCTCACAGGCCCGCCGGGACAGCTGCACCCAGAGCCCAGCGGTGTGTAATGCTCTGGCAGAACCCCGTGGCTTTTCTTCTTCCCCCTTCATTGATGGACTGGTACAGTCCAGCCTCCTGCTGCAAGCTCCTATAGAGAGTGTGTCTTGTGTCCCGTGGGGTAAAGAAAAAGGTTTGGCTGGAGCAAATGTAACCCACACACCTTCTGGGGGTGATGTACTGTCCTATCTCATCTCCGAGGGGTAGCCGTCTTAGACTGTAACTTTAGAAACTACGAGTAGTCCCGTGGCACCTTAGATATATAAAAGCTCATGATACTATATATATATATGTTTGTTAGTCTCTATGGCTTTGGCTACACTAGCATTTTGTCCCAGAGAGGCATAAGGATCTTGTGCAAAAAGGGGGTTTTGCGCAAAAACCCCTTGTGCAAAAACGGCTTGAATAGATTATGCAAATGAAGCCTGACAAAATGCTAATCAGTGCTTAATTTGCATACTCTCTGCCGGAAAAAGCTGGCAGTGTAGACAAAGCCATGTCTACGCTACAGAGTTTTGTTGGAAATACGGCTGTTTTTCCAACAAAATCTGAGTTATATCTACAAAGCAATTGTGTTCTTCTGCAAGAAAATCAAAAGAACAGAGGGTTTTTTCCAGCATTGGTAATCCTCATTCTACGAGTAAAAAGCCTTTCTGTGAAAGAGCTCTTTCTCCAAAAGGCGCGTGTGGATGGGGAAGAGGGAGTTCTTTCGGAACAAGAGGAAAGAGGAAAAAACACAGGTGCTCTAGTGGCCGCTCCGTCCATAGCAATCACAGCTTACATGTGAGAGAGCGTCCATTCAGTCTGGATGCTCTCTTTCGAAAAAGCAGATCGTTTTTTCAATGCATTTTGCAGTGTGGACATTCTCTTTCAGAAGAAGTTTTTCCGGAAGATCTCTTCCGAAAACAGCTTCTTCCGAAAGAAGCCTGCAGTCTAGACATACCCGTAGAGTATGTCTACACTGTGGAGCTATTTCAGGATGCTGGAAATATCCCAAAATAGCTATTCTATTGACGCAGCCCGTCATTTCAAAATGGATTTCAAAATAACAGGTGGCTTATTCCAACGTTCCAGTAATGCTTGTTCCATGAGGGCTAAGGGGCATTTCGGAATAGCGAGTTATTTTGAAATTTGGTGCTGCGTAGACCAAAAATAAGCTGTTTCGAAATACACTTGCAATAAGCTATGCAATTTGCAGCATAGCACAAATTGCGTACTTATTTTGAGCGAAGGGTGCTGTGTAGGCGCACCCTAAGGTGCCATAGGACCATTTGTTGTCCTGTCTAGGGGCTCAGAGAGTCTGCTCGACATCCTTAGCTGAGAGCCAGCTGGCTTTTAGCTCATGCAGAAGGTAGAGGCTCATGCATTGAGCTTCTGAAGTCCCAGGTTCAGTTCCACCTGCTAACAACCAGGCTCTGTTGGTGTTATTCAAACATAATGGGGATTCCGCATGGAGGCTGGTGGGTCTCTCTCTGGTTTCTGAGCCTCCAAAGCT